TTGGAGGAGGAAAGGAACATGTAAAATTATGAGTATTTGTTTTTTAAAAAAAAAATGAAAATCGCTCATTCTCCAAGCACCAAATTCCAGTTAATTTTGTCCTTTTTCCCTGTGGCCTCAGCATGCAGATCTAAGTGTAAAAATGGCACATCGTCTATGGGGATGCACCTCACTGGACCCCTTCCTGAAGAGAAAGGAGAAAATAGGACATCATCATTTTCATTTGACATTCTGCCCATGCCCTATCTTCTTTTTGTCATTTTTTCCCCCTTCTGGAAATGGAGCTTCTTCCTTTCTTGCGAATGCATTTAAGGCTGTTAATTTTGCCTCTAAGCATGACTTTAAGTGCAACCTAAGTGTTTTAACATGTTATACACTTATTACCGTTCTGTTGAAAATATTTTCCAGTTTTCTTTGTGATTGCTTCTACCACCCACAGGTTATTTAGGTTACTTAAGGCCATCTTTTTTTTTCCCCTGAGCACTCACCACATTAACTATTTCCTGTCTTTTAAGCATCTACTTTATGTACGTAACCAGTTTCTGTCCTTGTCCCGGATAAAAATACTAGCTTAAAATAAGTTATTTCCTCTGGCTATAAATTGGACATTAAGCATGTTTTATATGTTTAAAATACAGCAATATGACAAAATTCTGTTAACCACATTAAAGTATAAATGTGGTTGAATTTTTGACATCTGTAGACAGATCTGTTGAAAATTTCAGTGTTTGATTACAATATAGATAAATCAGTATAATGTTTATAAGCAGTATCTTTTATGATCTTTAAGTGGTTGTAGGAGTACTTACACCTCTTTTTTATATTCATATTGAAATTTAAAGGTATTTTAAAGTAACTTTCTTGTTATCCAGTTATTCACTCAGGGTAATCAGATGTCTATTCAAAACAGCCAACAATGAGCTAAAGGAGTGCTGTTCCAGCCAGAATCCTACCGCTACCACAAGTGATGAAAGCACAAGAAATCCTCCACAAAGGTATTCTACAACTTTAAGTGCAACCTAAGTCTATTCTAAACTTCTGAACTAAGGGTTGGAGAAAACTGGCTCTTTAAATTTCAGAATAAAAATCAGTTTGCCTATCAATATAAGGCAATAAATACTCATGCATCCATCTCTCGTGTGCCAGTAATTCCCAGGGACCCTATAGAAATCTTACTGCTGTGCAAATAGAGGGACTGACACAAAAACTCCAGTCACAGGATTCTCTGGGTGGTTCTAAAATAGAAGAGGCACGTATAGGTATCTTAAAGATCAGGCATCGTTCCAATCACTTTATAAGAATTAATGAATTATTATAAATTATTAATACAGCAAACCTGCAAACTAGTCGCTATAATTCTTGCTGTTATTATTCCCGCTGTCAGATGGGATAAAAGAAGGTAACTAATTTGTGACAGGGGAAAGTCTCAGATAGTGAGTGGTGGATTCAGGATTTAAACCCACGATGCCTGATTCTGGACACTTGCATTTAATTCCCGCAGCCCTCGCAGCTGCCGGCGCCGGCGCTGCACACACAGCCCCGCTCTGCGCGCCCAGCCCCGCCGGGTCCCGGACCCTGCCGGCAGCCTGCAGTGCCTAAACGTTAGATCTGAAGGATAGGAGCGTGCTGAGAAGGATAATGCTTTTAGGCAATTAATTGTGTGTTCTTTAAATACGGGCATGTTAACCATACGGGGCTGGGCAGCGCATGCCTGAGCTGTTTGGAATAAAAGACTGCAGGATTTTGCAGTTTCTTTCTCTCCATCCTGCAGTCCACTTCTGAACTTGTCTCCCTCCTCTTGGGATAATTCTTAGGCTGCCCGAACTTCACTTCAGCTCTGCTATGCCCAGCCTTCCACTCATTCCACTCGGACCCCCAAATGCTGACCGGCCAGGGGATCCCATGCTACCCTGCAGACTGTTGAATGCACAAGAAATCCAGGTCCCAGCCTCTGAGGCTGTCAGTGCTTTGTTAGTAAAGAAGGCACAGCTGAGCCAAATAACCAGACAAATGACCAGATGTGTACTTTCTGAGAATTGTAAAAACAATATTGATGCTCACAAAAAAATATATGTATATCAGGGCAGGAATATGGACAAAGGCAGTCAGAGAAAATGATCTCTGAAGACATTTGGATAGGATGGGAACTAGTTTATTTTTCTCAAGATGCACTGCCCAATTATTTCCAGTTATTCAATTATTATTCATTTTTTATGGTATTTAAAATCATGGGATACATATTGGTTTATAACAGTTTATATGAAATATTGTTATGATAAAACTAAAAGATAAAGTCACTATCAGACTGTAAGGCATGAACACGAATGGCAGTTACACAGGTGGGCATTTGCAAGCACACACTGCCTGGCACCAGCTGCACAGCCTTGGGCAGGGAAGGAAACATTCTGCTTCTCAGTTCCCTTGTGTTAGATGAGATGGCCAAATACTATGTACAACCTCACTCCAATACAGTAACTACTAGCCCCATGTGGCTATTTAAATTAAATTTATAATTTTAAAAATGGACATTCATTTCCTCACTCTAGCCTCATTTCAAGTGCCCAAGAACCCCATGGGGCTAGTAGCTTTCATACTGTACAGCATGCATACATATATATATATAAATTGTTCACAGAAAGTTCTTCTGGACAATGCTGGTGTATCAAGAGAGGGTCAACTATGATTTAGACACACTGCTGGGAAAATATCACAATTAAGCAAATAATAGTTTTATATTCAGGATTCCTTTGTTTGTGAATTTGGAGAGAGCTTGGCGTAGAAGCCTGAGAGCTGTGCTGCAAGTCTTTTTCTTGTAAAAATCACTGGGGCTGTCAAATCCTGATAAAGAGAAAGTTGATTTCAAAAAGTTCAAGTGAGGCAGACTTTGGGACAGCTTGCATGCAAAATATAAAACTCGGTAACTATCAAAAGGAGAAAAAGACAAATCCAACATTTCCTACATTCACGACGAATAATCAGCACCATTTTCAAATAATTATCAAATTAGAAAAAGACAACCTTTTAAAAACATTGAGCCTTTTATTTAGGTCTTCTGAAGCTAAAATGCTTTTCATTTTATTGTACAGCCTGAATTAGTTTAATTCCTAGGTTAGTTAACTTTTAATGTTGTTATGAATGTTATTAATTTTAAATGTTTACTTCAAATGTTATTGATAAAAAAAAATGATTTTCGTATATTGCACTCCTGTCCAGTGTCTTTGCTAAATGTACCTATTAAAGCTAATAGCTTATCTGTAAATTATTCTTAATTTTCTGTTGCATTCCATCAATAATTTATTTCCAGTTACAACATCTTTTATTTCTTTGCTATTACACTAGCTAGGACTTGCAATAATAAATACAGATTTTTTTGCCTTTAGATTTATTCCAGAGGGAAAGTTTTAGAAACCTTTTAGATAATTATCTAAATTACAGATGTAACAGATCCATATTCACATTTATTTCTGCTCCTGTCATTTTTACTAATAGATGTTTCCAGCAATATGACTATTTCATGTAAATTTTCAAGTTTAATGTCCTAATTTTGTTCCTGATATTCTCTAATGATTTTTAATGCCTGTTATCAATGTAGTGATAACATATTTGAAATTACTGATGTTGGTTATTAGAGCCTTCTTCATTTTTCCTTGATAAGTTTCACCAGAAATTATCTGGCTTCAATAAGCTGTTTAAAGGATTTTACTTAATTTATTTCCCTTATTTAATATTTGTTTTTCTTCATTGCTTTTCTTGGCCTTATTATTTGCTTCATTCTGCTTTCTTTGCTTTTACCTACCTAATTATAATTTAATTTGTTGACTTGGGTGATTATAAATATTCAGATATGTTTCCACTTTACAGATTTAGGCAACAAAATTTCCTCAAAGAAACTTACAGAAAAAAAAAAATCCAATAATATATAAAACGATATATCATGACACAGAAGGGCTTCTTATTAGAAACAAATTGGTCAGTTAAATATTTGAAACTCATAGCTGCAAATAATCACATTAAGAGAATAAAGGGAAAAACAAGATTATCTCAAAAAATATATAAAACTACATGACAGAATTCAGTATGCAGTCATGATACGTACTCTCAGCAAAGTAGGAATACAAAAAAATGATTAATCCACTACACGTATCTGCAAAAATGACAAAACGCTTATATATGGAAATTAAAGACCATTCCTTTGTGGATAGTATGCCACAACACAGCACAGATGGGGTTGAAAGAAAGGAAGAGAAACAAAGGGCTGCCATGAATTAAACCAGTAGAGAAAATAAAAGCCTGGGTCATGCAGGGGACAGTGCCTTATTCAGCCAGCATCAGGAATGATTGAAGTCTGGGGCTTCTACACAGTGGGAAAACGAGCATAGTAATCACAATAAAGAAAGACATCTGAAAGGTGCTAACTTAGCCTCGGATCAGAAGCGCTGTCTGCTAATGCCTTGCTGGTGAAAAGCGTATCCTGCGTAAGCCCTCAGAAATCCCAGAAAACAAAGACCAAAAGAAACGACGCTTTGTCAACAGAGCAAATCGAAAAAATCTTCCAGCAGTGACAGGGCATTAAAAAATAAACAACGCAGACATAAGATGGAGTGAATCAAAAAAGGATTTATCTAATTCATGTATGAAATGTTTCAGAATCTATTGGATTCTAATTTTTTTAAAGCAGACAGATACGAAAATACAACGAAGACGTGCATGACTGAAACCAAAAGAGATTAAAGTAAAACCTCATTCTCCTGAGGAAACGGTGTGAGGAGGGAATTAGGGGCTGCCGGAACACAGCGAAGCAGAGGCAGAAGGCAGACAAAAGGGGCTGGGTTGGTCCCTGCCTGTGTGAACAAAAAATATGTCAGATTGGAAAATTGCGGTAAAATCCAAGCGCGGCACGTACGTTGCCCCCACAGGAAGTGTCCGCCGCGCTGCCTGTGCCCGGAAGTAGGTAGGAACACACAGTCACAGGCAGCCAAGAACCGGGGGGGAAGAAAAAGAGATGCACACTTCCCCTAGAGAAGCCTCCGAGCGCGGCCGCGACTCCGGGCCTCAAGCCCATAAAGAAAAAATACCGGAGACGTTCTGGCACCATTTCGGGGTAAAGAAGCTGCCATGGAAGAGCCTGCAGCTCCCTCAGAAGCCCAGGAGGCAGCCGGGGCCCAGGCAGGTGCTGAGGCAGCAGGGGAGGGTGTGTCTGGGCCGGACCTTCCCGTCTGTGAGCCCTCCAGGGAATCTGCTGCTCCAGATTCGGCCCTGCCACATGCGCCTGTGGGCTGGGCCCCCTTCCCTGTAGCTCCAGTCCCTGCCCACCTCCGCACAGGAGGCCTGAGGCCTGCCCCAGCCTCAGGAGGAGGAGCATGGCGCAATCCGTTTCCAAGCCGAAGCAGCGGCATTTGGACAAAGCAGATCATCTGCAGGTATTATATACATGGGCAGTGCAAGGAGGGGGAGAACTGTCGCTATTCCCACGACCTTTCTGGTCGGAAGATGGCCACTGAGGGCAGCGTTTCGCCGCCTGGGGCCTCTGCAGGTGGAGGCCCTAGCACGGCTGCGCACATCGAGCCCCCGACTCAGGAAGTGGCGGAAGCCCCCCCGGCTGCATCCTCCCTTTCCTTGCCTGTGATTGGCTCGGCTGCTGAAAGGGGTTTCTTTGAAGCAGAGAGAGACAATGCAGACCGTGGAGCTGCTGGAGGAGCAGGTGTAGAAAGCTGGGCGGATGCCATTGAGTTTGTTCCAGGGCAGCCCTACCGGGGCCGCTGGGTTGCATCTGCCCCCGAGGCTCCTCCACAGAGCTCAGAGACTGAGAGGAAGCAGATGGCTGTGGGCAGGGGGTTGCGGTTTTGCTATTATGCTTCCAGGGGAGTTTGCTTTCGTGGGGAGAGCTGTATGTTCCTCCATGGAGACATATGCGACATGTGTGGGCTGCAGGCCTTGCACCCCATGGATGCTGCCCAGAGGGAAGACCATATAAGGGCCTGCATTGAAGCACACGAGAAAGATATGGAACTCTCGTTTGCTGTGCAGCGTGGTATGGACAAGGTGTGTGGCATCTGCATGGAGGTTGTCTATGAGAAAGCCAACCCCAATGACCGCCGCTTTGGCATTCTTTCCAATTGCAACCATACCTTCTGTATTAGGTGTATCCGCAGGTGGAGAAGTGCCAGACAGTTTGATAACAGGATCATCAAGTCTTGCCCGCAGTGCAGGGTCACCTCCGACTTGGTCGTTCCCAGTGAGTTCTGGGTGGAGGAGGAGGAAGAGAAGCAGAAACTTATTCAGCAATACAAGGAGGCAATGAGCAACAAGGCCTGCAGGTATTTTGCGGAAGGCAGGGGTAACTGCCCATTTGGAGACACATGCTTTTACAAGCATGAATACCCTGAGGGCTGGGGAGATGAGCCTCCTGGGCCAGGTGGTGGGTCATTCGGCGCATACTGGCATCAACTTGTGGAGCCTGTGCGAATGGGAGAGGGCGACATGCTCTATAAAAGCCGTAAGAAGGAGCTTGTCGTGCTTCGACTGGCCAGTCTGTTGTTTAAGCGGTTTCTTTCACTGAGAGATGAGTTACCCTTCTCTGAGGACCAGTGGGACTTGCTTCATTATGAGCTGGAAGAATATTTCAATTTGAATCTGTAGCATTGTGCTGTGGCATGTGGTCTAGTCTGCTGAGGTTCTGTCGTCTACTATTGCCTGTTTTCCCTGTGTTGACACTCTTATTGCTTTCAGGGGCTGTTGAGGCAGTGCTTCTGTTTTCTTGTCTATTCTGCATATCTTTCCCCCTAGGATTATGGTGATCATCTGTGTTTAAAAAAATAAGTCCTTAAAGTTACTGTTTTGGTGAAATTAATATTAATGTCAGCTTATGGCTTTTTTTGTCATCTCTGTTTTCAACAGGATTAACTCAGTTCTAGTGTAGTGTTTACTGAATTTCCACACTTATTTTGAAGACCCTCAAGAGTAAATGTGGCAGAGTGAAAGGAGAAGTTTTAATTGATCTAGTAGCTTTGTGCTATAATAGCCTTAACAAATGGACCCTCGCAGGGTCTTGCAGCTGCTCATCTGTTTACAGTTTGTTCTTTCCCTCCTTCCCCTTGAAGTGCACTTGTTAAACTGTGATGAACTTGTGATTTTGTGTTTTACTTGACCAAAACCAAGTGTATATGTTTACATGTTTTTATCCTGTTTAGCTTGACATGAAATAATTTATATTTGGAAATATATATTTAAGAATGATATATATATAATATATATGTATAAGAGCTATGTATTTGAAAATATATATAAAAGAATATACATCACAATATTTATGTTTATGTAATAAAGTAAATACAGAGCCGAAAGCTGAAGGTCAAAGCCTAACAGGATTGGCTGTTGTGTGGATGTGAGTTGTGTGAATAATCATTCTGTCCCTTGCACAGAAGCCAGTAATTAGCATCTAATGAAAAGGACTGTTCAAGTGGGTCTGGCCAAATGTAACAGATGCAGATCTTAGAGGACTTATAAAGCACTATATTGGTAATTCTTACAATGGCATTAATAGCTCACTCTATAAAAACAGAAATGGTGTTCCTATGCAGTTTTGCCACCTTCTCAATAATTCTTTGTAACAGCAAATCCTGGGCTCAGAGGCACAGTGCTTTGTATTTGATATACAAAGTCTCTAGACTTTCCCAACAAGGGGCTTTAGACAAAAGATTTCAACATAAAAGTAACAAGATTATAAAAGGGAAAATAGAACAAAAATACTAAAACCAGTGAGAATAAAATAATGGAAAGATAATAAAATATAGAAAGCACTAAAAACTAAGTGTAAGAGTAATATAGAAAATTTACATACAACTTAGATTAAATGAAAGCAGTTTAAAGACTGAAAGTCAAAGGCTATAAGACTTCATTACAATCAAAATGAAACATCCTATTTAAAATACACACAACATAAAAATACAGAAGCATTCAAAGTAGTAAGATGGGAAAAAAAAACCAAACAGGTGCTGTGACTGTCTTGATTGTAGACAATGTTTATGGTAAGGATAAACACTTTGCTGGAGATAAAAAGGAATGATACATAAACATTAAATTGTAATTCACAGGAATATATAACTGTTCAAATTTTGTATACATTTAATAATGTTGTATCAGATACACAACTGATAAAAATAGAAAATCCTAACTCCAGACTCTTAGTGGACAATTTTAATACACCTTTTTAGTAACCAAACAAGCAAAGAAAAAATGAATGTGAAAGATAATTATGCCATTTTAATGACTTACCTGCATAAGTTATGATCTGCATCAACTGCAAATGCACTTACCTTGGCTGAAGTAGCTGAAAAATATGCTAGGAGTGTGAATCTTGAGTCCCAGGTTATTCACACTGTCCTGACTGTCCAACAAATATGGCACATTTAAGAGTTTTTATACCATGTAATTTGCATGCAAAAGGATGAATTTGTCAGAACTACCTAATGTGGTACTTGCTATAATTTTTCTCATTATCCTGATGAGGTAAATAATAGAGAATTTAAAGGTTTTGCCCATAGAGTTTATGACCCATAGCTGTGAATTAGTGGAACAAAGACTGGAACTCAAACAGTGTATGTCCAGAGCAGTTGCACTTACCATGTTCACTAGGAGCAGGTGGACTAGCTGAGTGTAGCTGCTGGAGACGCAAGTACAGCCTTTAAGTATGGCTGCTTCAGCCAAGTGAGGCAAAGATGGACATGAATAAGCTCCCGCAGAATATAGGAGCCATGGGGCTTTTATCTATAGGCTGCCAGCTCAGTGATTTTAGTCCACTGCTTCAGAGTGTGCCTCAGCCTCCTATAATTTTACATTGCCTCTCCCTTCTTACATGACTCCTGGTGCTATTAAGTACCTCAGCCTATTTGCCTGGACCTTTTGCCATATTCCTTTCCTCTTGATTCCTCTTAGCGAAAGAATTCACCAATTAGGACACCCTTGATGCCTGACTATCACTGGCATGCAAGGTGAGTGACAGATTCCAAATAAATTCCAAACATCTGAGGTTCCTGCCCTGCACTTGTGCAGGAGAAAGAGAGATTAGATGAACTAAACAACCAAAGAACGAGACCAGATGGTGTATTCTCAAAGACTGTGCCAACACCAAAGTCTCAAAAAATGAGTCCCAGTAGTGGCAAAGCTTTCAGAGAGGTGTTTTTAAGCTGAGCCCAGAGAGCTGTGGAACGTTTCTCCAAATGTACACTTCCCTGCGTTGTGAAATACCATGTTTTTATTCAAATAGTATCTTGAGCCAGATAATCGTAAAGTTCAGGATTTATAGTAGGACAATGGTTAGCAGAAAATAAAGTGGCTTGGGAGACAAAGGATAGTTAGAATGCTGACTCTGCTTCTTACTAACCATTCAGTTTCACAGTCTCAGGAAGTTACTTAAATTTTCTGTACTTCAGTTTCTTCATATGAGAAATGGGTACAGTTCCACCTACTTTTGCAGGATTGTTGTGAGGATCAAATGTAGTCTGGACAAAAAGCTCAAAACATAGTTTGTTGGGTTTTTTTTTTTTTTTTTAGTGATCTATGTAGATGTGAGATTTGTGCATATTTTTGGACATGAAAAGGTGATTGCACAGAAATTAATCACCAAGATTTTCTTTTTGAGAATCTTTGGAACTTGTATTAATGTAACATTATCATTTAATGATTATTTTGGTAAGCAAGGGGTATATTACCCTCACATTCATAATTTCAAAAAGATGAAGTATTTTTTCAGCAAAAATTATTCAGTTGAAACTAAATATGTGCTATTCAGTTACTTAAAGTATAACAAAAGAAATACATATTTTTGGCAGATTTCTAAGTGAGGAAAATAACAAAGGGACATTTTTAGACTATATGGGATTCCTTGTTCCGTCATCAGTTCATTCAGAAAAATGTCAAATGACAGAAGTATTACTGCCACCAAGTCTGGGTGAAGTGTTAGCAAGGGCTTTCCCACGATCTGACCACTCCCCTGCTGCAGTCAGGAACAAAGAAGCCCTTGCCACACAAAGGTCTGCTCTGTGAGTGGCGCAGTGTGTGTGCAGGCCCTCGCCCCAGGAGGACTCAGGGATTCAGCCCTGGGGTCTACAAAAATGGTATCATTTCAGCTACAACTAAAAAAGCCTAAAACAAGTCAGGTTTGCTTAGGTTTCGTGTGTCTCGATTTGATGGATATCCACACATGCAAATATGCTAAGAGAAATTTACCTAGTAACTCTCCCCCTTCGAAGATATGGAAATCACTTTGTCTCATGGCTCACATGTCACTAAATCAATTCACTGAATTTCACTGACAGGGAAACATTTTCAGTCCGTAGTCTATGTCCGTATGCTCTTCCATTTTACGCTTTTCCAAACGTCGTGGAGGCGTGGTTTCTGTTGCCACAGCTAATGCTAAACTACAACTTCAGTGTGGGATAGAGTTAGGGTAGGGCTGGGAACAGGGATGTATGGGAAGTAACCCAGTACTAGTGCATAGAAGTAAATTAATTCATGTCAGTTTTTGCCATGAAAATATATATCATATTTTCCAATATTAAGGGAACAATAACAAAAATAATTATGAAATAGAGTACAGTGAAACTGTCAATTAGATCTAGATATTAAAAGTAGTACAGGCAACATTCTCTGAGGTCAATATAAGAAAATAAGCTACTACTGTCTGGGCACAGTGGTTCACACTTGTAATCCCAGCACTCTGGGAGGCCGAGGAGGGTGGATCACGAGGTCAGGAGATCAAGACCGTCCTGGATAACACAGTGAAACCCTGTCTCTACTAAAAATACAAAAATTAGCTTGGCGTGGTGGCGGGCGCCTGTAGTCCCAGCTACTCTGGAGGCTGAGGCAGGAGAATGCCGTGAACCCAGGAGGAGGAGTTTGCAGTGAGCGGAGATGGCACCACTGCACTCCAGCCTGGGCAACAGAGCAAGACTCTGTTTCAAAAAAAGAAAAGTAAAAGAAAATAAGCTACTACCACTTTTAATTGTCTCTCATGAATAATTTGATGTAGGAGTGAATTCAAAATCATTTAGAATATAATATGACAATGGCAAATTATACATACCATAATATACAGGATACTTCTAGATCTGTACTCAGAGTATAACTCCTAATTTTAAATACTAATGTATATTGTCTTAAAAACATAAAGAGCCTAATTAACTAGGTATTCAAACCTAAATTTTAAAAAGACCACAGCATGAACACATGCACACATACACAAACACATACAAACACAACTAAGGTAAGCAGAAGGAATTAATAAATATTAAACTAAAAATTTGTTGAACAGAGAATG